ATGTCTTTAATCCACTTGGACTTGAGTTTTGTGCATAGTGATAGATATGGGTCTATTTTCATTCTTCTACAGATTGACATCCAGTTTTGCCAGCACAATTTGTTGAAGATGCCCTCTTTTTTCCATTGTATACTTTTAGCTCCTTTATCGAAAATCAGTTGTTCATAGGTTTGTGGGTTAAAGTCAGGGTCTTCTATTCGATCCCATTGGTCGACTTCTCTGTTTTTATGCCAATAGCTTGGTACCTATTATGAGTGCAGCATTTTCATCTTATTTCCACTGCATCTGGGTGGCAACTGACTCTCTGTCTTTCCTCTTCCCAGAATTCTCTTAGTCTGGTTGCCCTACCTATACTTCCTATGTGGCTACTGGCCAATCAGCATTTTATTAAACCAATACAAGTGACAAATCTTTATAGTGTACAAAGGAATTATCCCACAGCACATGGTTTAAACAGTAACAAAATGTACTTGATCCTCAGTTGGTTAAATGCTCAGATCCATGGACGGTCTAGAAGAAAATAAAAATACTACAAAATTTTAAATAAGCTGTAGTGTTAAAAAGAACAACACTGTCATTTGTTAGGATAGAATATATGCTTCTTTCTTAAAGTTTTTTTTTATTATTTTAAAATATGTATGGGGGTAGCATGTGCACATTTGTGCAGATGCCATCAGAGACAAGAAGCATTGGGTCTCTCTCGAAATGAATTTACAAAAGGCTGTGAGCCACTGGATATAGGTGGTGGCAACTGAACTTGCCTGTTGTGCAAGCAAAATGCATGCTCATAACCCTCTTAACTGTTGAGCCACGGCTGCCAATTTCTACTTTGTTCTCATGGCTCATTTCAAGTCACTCTCTTCTTAAAACCATGCACAAAAAAATCTTTTCCTGGAAAATTTTGAGGGCTTTTAAAGAGAATTTTTGGTTTGCTAAAGAAAAAAGAAATTGGTCAATCAAACTAATAGACAACACATACTCCAAACTCCACCCAGATATAAAACCTCAATAATTTATACCCATGCAGTTATGAAAAGTGGCTGTTAGCTTTAACTCAGTCCTTCTCTGTTGCTGATAGGTACACACTGGTGGATATTTTGCGTGCCATCTTACTTTCTTTAGAAGCCATGATTGAAGATCCCGAGCTGCAAGTAAATGGATTTGTTTTGATCATAGACTGGAGTAACTTTACCTTCAAGCAAGCCTCCAAGCTCACACCAAGCATGCTGCGACTTGCCATTGAAGGCCTTCAGGTAAGGGTATGCTGATATCATTTCCTTGTCTCCTGTATTTTACTTGTCTAATATGTTAGGATATTGGATGTCCAATGAAATAATGAACAAAAAGCAAAGGGATATAGTTTTTTTTCACAAATCTTAAGGACAATACTGGAACAAAAGATTGAACAAGGAAAGTACAAGAGCCTTCTAAGATATCTGCCTGCTCTAAGTCTACACATAAGCACTAGGGTTGAATGAAGGTTTTTGTGGTGACAGCCAGAACATGTAACTTTATATCTTTAGCTTTGGTGTATTAGTTTTTAGCCTTGTTTTTGGCTTCATTTCATTTTCTGTGATGTGAGCAAATTACAAAACTTTACTTAACAACTTTATAAACTAGTGAACTTGAGACTGAATTATGCTGTCTTGTTTATAATTAATAATCAATGACTTTACAGCTCCTTAAGGTATAGAAATCCGTTTTGAAATACTTCTTCAGATGTAATTGGAGTTATTGTTTTCTTTGTCAGTAGAAGGGGTGGTAATATGTAAGTTATGCAGCAATAGTGAGTCTTTCTAGCGAATAGTATTTAACTTGTACAGAATCATAAAGTGGGAAATGAGTCCTTATGTGTGCCATTCATAATCCTGCTATTGGTAAAGTCTTGTTAACTTTTAGGATACTCTTTGTAGAGGCTCAAAAATGTGAATCGATTTTCACCTTGTCTGAAGGTCAAAGAGTTTTAGCTTGTTTGAAGTTTTTAACATCAATTGTAGCTACATACTCTGACCTAAGTTGTGGTCACTTGGTGTTTTGGACATTAAGATGGCCTCTACAGGTAGATACACTCCACCCTGACCAAAGTCAGAGAATTCAAGCATACTTCTGTTCCTTGTTTTGAATGAAGAGGTTTGACCTAAGGAGTTGTTGTCTTAAAGGTACTTGTTCTGAAGCGGGGATTCACTACCTAAACAATAGAATGCTTTTCTCATGAATTAATGGCTTGATGTCTCAATGTATGGAAGCAAGTAATTGTTCTAGATGTCCTATGTATTATGCTAGACCAGTATTTTGCCTCCCCCCCATTGTGTTGGGGTATAAATGTGTAGACAAAATTAAACACTATAGCTTTTCAATAATTAGTGGAACTCCCTTCCAGTACTAGCCTATGCTTCTGTTTTATTATTTTCACTCACATCTTCATTCTCTCCACTTATTTTTCTAATCCCATGCCTCTAACCTGGCAAGTGGTATCTTTGTTGAAGCTGGTCTATGTTTTCTATCTCTGTCCTGAATTCCACTTGTTTAATTTTGGAACTAGTTTAGAGCTCCTAGAACATTTATAAGTTCACTAAAATGATATTATTTAGTATTTGTTGTATTCCCAAAACATATTCTAGAAGTATGTAGGTTATCATTTTTCTCAATCAGAATATCTCATTTTAAAGTGACAAATTATATATTTAATGTTCCCTTAGGAAAAATACTGCACTTTCTTGAGATGATAAATAAACCAAAACAATATTTATCTCATCTATCTTTGTTAGTTTCTGCAGGCAACTTAATCGATAACCACTGACCTCTTAACAATGGTGTTTACTCCAGGCTGCAGGATATATTAACCAAATGTAGTTCACAGTTTTTGACCTGTCATTGTCCTGAATCAGACACACTGATCTCCGCATAGGTTTTTCATGAAGCAAGAGTCCTGACTTGCTCTTGGTGAGTCAGCTTTGTTGCTGACTTATTCTTTTATAACTTCATAGAGACACTTAATAAGAACAGAGATAGGGCAAAGATAATGCATATTGTACAATGTGCATATCATGCATTCTGCCCCTTTCTGGCAAGCCATAAAGTGGGTTATTGTGTGAAGAAATTATCACCAGCAACCACATAATACAGAATGGTCACCTCAGCCAATTATTGTCTCTATTTAGCACGAGTCTCATTTTTATTTATATAGAAGCCGAGCTAGGCTTTCTGTTATAGGAAAGATGGAAAACTCATGTACATCCAACACGTACTGGATGAGATACCCTTTAATAACTTCACTAAGTCATTGATAGAAAAAAGCTTAGGAATTTAAAGTAAGTTATTGTTGTGATGACTGCCAGAGCTTTAACTGGTTGGTGTGAACCTCACATGAGCTACAATCAATCACATTAAAGCTTCATTTGTGTCTAGATTGGAAATGTTTTCTATTTTCCTGTACAGGCTTTATTGTACATATTCTTTCTCTTTATTCTGCATAAATTACTCAAGCACCTATTTCGTCCAAAATGAACATGTGGTAAACAGGCCTAAAACATTTATAAGAACAGCCAGGAAATGTTTAAAAAAAAGAAGGTCTTCCTAAGAATGTATTTTACACAATGTATTAGTTATTGTTCTGCTGCTGAGAAAAAACACCATAACCAAGGCACATATTGGAGAAAGAATTTACATGGATTTATAGTTCCCAGCTTACAGTTAGCCTCATAGTGAAGTAAGAAAACAGAGTTTTCAAATTAAGTCTTTAATTTTGCTTGCATTTACTATGTGGAGAAAAAAAAACTATTACTGAGCTCTGTTTCATATTCCAATCAGGATATAAAATTAGCTGCTTTTCAAGATAAACATGAGTCAAAACATGTATGAAATAAAGACACACAATTTTAGATACCTCTCCCTAAAGTTATTTGAACCAAGACTACCACCACTGCCACAGTGTAATCCCCTTCCCCCAACTAAATCAATCAGGGAAATTAAGAAATCTGAAGGTTTTTAGAGCTCAGCTGTAGTATACTGCAATTCTACAATAATGTGACTTTTACTTAGATAAATATAAATAATATTCTAAGGTGCTGAACCAAAAATAAGAAAGCCTACCAGTAAGCCTTATGGAAGAAGGGAAGTTTATTCTAATGAGGTCTTTTATGAATGCATGTTATTATTTTGAAGCGGTCCTATCTCTCTTGATTCATCTATGTAATTTGTCTTATATAATTACCCCTCATTTTTCATGAAGAAAATTATTTTGAATGACTTAGATAGAGTTAGGATATCATCCCCACATTATACAGATACATGGGAAGTACTGTAGGTCCACCTGTGATCCCAGTACAAGGTCACCTGACAGACCATATGCAAGGATGGGTGCAGGATATGCTCAGGAGCCAAGCAGATCTAGGTCCAGATGGCAGCCCTGCTGCACATCAAGTACTTGTGAAATTGCATACCTTTCTTGAATCTCATTCTAGGTCTTTACACTAATTTAAAGTGTCATTATGAATAATACATCTTGCACCTTGCAGGTGATATCTTAAGCTAAAGTTGGTGAGGATCAGATGATTTTCAGGTAACATTTTTTTTTTTTTTTAGTTATAAGGAGAGATTGTTTCCTTTTTGAGAAATTTAAGAATTGAGAAAACTAGCAGATGTAATTGATTGTCTTTGGAAATTTAGTCTCTTTTTTCTCTTGGTGCTCATGTTGTATATAAATCACTAAATTTTTAAATATTTGTTCCCTGTAGTTAAATAACCTCTATATACTTCACAATGGATATAAAAAAATATTCTTTCAATTGAGAAGTCAGGAAAAAAAAGAGCATTTTAAAATTCTCTTGGAGCAATTTAGTTCTTTAATGAAACAATCCTGCCATAGCTGTAAAGGTACTGTTTGTGTAGATAGTGTTGGCCTTGAATGTTGTACAAAAGTTTGTTAAGGGGACAAGGACAAGAAGGAGATTCAGGCAAGGGACTTTGAACAACTCAACTCAGAACTAGAGAGAGTTGGAAACACATAATGAATCTATTTCTGTGACTACAGGAAGGAATAAAATAAGGAAGATGAACTTGGAGAGGCAGGCCATCATCTGGATCACTGGGATAGAAGATTCCAATCTATGTCATTTGGCCAGTGCTCTCTAGGCAGGAGAATTGGGGGTGGGGAAATGTCTTGATCACTTTTCTGCTTTGCAAAGATTTTCTGAGTAGAAGAAGAAATGGGCAAAAGAATAAAAAACTGCATCTTGAGAACCCCCAAATTATCCCTAAGTTAATCAAGCTCATTTACAGAGTTGGAAGTGAAAGTTCAACTTAAGGTACTTAGCCAAATTTTCTCAGTGGAGACTTAGCATTGAGTTTATAGTACCTGCATCTGGACATCAATGCCTCTCCGAAGTCTCGGGTTCCCAGTGATTTCTGTTGTTATTGTTGATTCCTGGCTTAAAACAAAGAAATATTAGGTGGCATCAGCTTAAAATGACTCCAAGTCCTCACATTTAAATACAGGTGAAAGGTCCATAATATGGAAGTTCCCTTCTAGTGAAAGAAGTCACAAATGACTGTCCTGCTTTTTGTACTTTGTTGACACTCCCGAGATTCATAATCTGTTCTCTGGTGAATAGCCTCCTTGACTGCCTACTGACTCAGTTCTCTGAGGGAGAAGATAAAGACAGGTTTTGTTAGCATACAGGAGATTTTTTATGAATATCAGTATACATTGACAACGTATTTAGTTTTGAGACAAAGGGGGTTTTGTATGTTTTGTTTGTAAAGAATATCAATCATTTTCAAAATATAAAAGGCATCAAATGTTTTGATCAACAGAATACATTTTCTTGACAAATATGGTCAATATTAGCTCTGCTTGAAGGAAGAATATATTTAAGCTTCTTTGGAAAGAAAGAAAAAAAGATTGTCTTGCCACTTACAAAAAGTTAATTGATTAGTGTAGTCACGGAAATAAGAAGTTTCATTTAAAATCAATATAAGATTTAATGAATGTGACCTATAGATGGAAGGTTTCTTCCTGGGAATCCCATTAAAGCAAGAAAAGTTTAGAAATACCTGGAGGAGATCAGTCTTTGAGTTTGGAGTGAGATGAGGATATCTCACTCCATTTGAATGTCTTTTATTTCTCTTGATCTATTAATTTCTTTTTTCTTTAGCAATTTATAAACATTTTAAAATGTGCTTTCCTCCCCCCAGCGTTCTTTGCTTCCTCTCAGATATGCATTTCTGCTATTCTCCTTGGTGCTATCCTGCT